AGACTCTAGGGGGGCCTCCTGCAGCGACCAGCCGACCACAGCCGGGTTTGTTGGGCCCCCTGGAGAGAAGGGGGGCACAGGAGAACCAGAGCCAGGACTGAGCGGGGCAGACTGTCAAGATTGTACTACTGCTGCAGTAACATAAGAGGTTTTCTAAAGGGACCGCTTCGGTCCTCAGAAACCGCCAAAAACAACACAAAATGTAACTTTAAAATGACTATTTTGCTGAATTGTGATTGTGGTTGGTAAACTATCGTAGTGATGCTTTTAAAAAAACATTCAGTGTTGGTTGCAAATGGGGGAAAAAAACAGGTAACGAGTTTCAAAAATCTCAACACAGAGGAGAGGAAGCGAAGGCAAGAAGCAGAGCGAGTGGTAGAGGGCTGGTTAAATATCTACAGGGCTGATGAGGGAAAAGTGGGAACTGGTGTGCCGGTGGGCGAGGCCGGTCAGAGGACATCTAGTGGACAGGTAGGAAACGGCAATTAACGAGTTTCAGGAAGGTGCGAAAGTGGCCGAAGAGACAGAATGTGACAAATAATGTCAACCAATGGGGGCACATTGCAGGAAAATTGAACCCTAACTAATCATTGCTTGCAGTCTTTCACGACCTGCTGGACATACAAAGGTAAAAGTGGTTGCATGGTTTTTCAGTATTACTTCATACTCAGGTCTACTTTGAAAATGACAGTTCGGCAGGATTTATACACCTTGTAGACATTTTAAAAATTGAGGAAAAACATTTCTAACAATTTTAATCTTTCGGCCAGGAGCTTGTGAAACAGCCTACAAGCAGAATAGTTTTTGTCCACTTTGATAAAACGACAAACCGACGTAAAAAAACGAACTTGTTTGGCCTTAATTGGCCTGATACTTTGTGTTCTGATGCTGATATTAACTACTAGTTCAATAAGGCTGTAAAAACGTTATGTAGGAAACACAGATCTGTAAAGAAGAAGAGTCTGAAGGTTATTCTGCTTTTGGAGAATTGCACATAAATCATGAGCGTTCACAGCGTAATCTCCCAGTGTTTTCTGGTGTGGAAGGACAGACTCAGCTTTTCCCCGTCACTGTTATCAGTGTTTCTGTGGTCCTTGGCAGACAGAGAGGAAGTCGGCATGTTCATTGTTCCCACCCATTCCCCTGTTCCTCGGCTACCTTCCTGGGGCCATTACAAACGGGTGAAGGAGCTGACCTGAACCCAAAGCATCCCCCCCTCCCCGTGAGTCTGCGTTACATGCAAAGCAGCTGATATAGGAGGACGAAGACGGCATTCGAGAGTGACAACACACAGGCCGAACATCTCCGGGTGTTGTCAGTTCAGCTCCGGCCATATCTGAGCCACATTCCTACGGTATACCCTGAGTTCGGCTGCGCCAAAGCAAACCCTTGAGGCCCAGACGGGGCCACAGTGTAACCACCGCTGGGAGATACTCAGTTTCATCCCACAGGAAGGATTTACTGTGCCTTTCAGTCTGTGGCTAATAAGCAACTGGGTCAGGCCACCACGAGCCCGTCTAAATAATAAATGAAAACAGAGACACTTTGCAAAAGCCTGCCAGATGACTGCCCGGCTCGGTTTGTTTTCAGGAGCAGAGTGAGGGAAACTTCCAACTGTTGACTTTGGGGGAACACATGTTACAGCCAATGGCCTACTTTCCATCTGCATGCTGATATTAGGGCTGAACAATGATTTCATATTATGGTTCATTGAGTTTTGAGATGATTGTGGCATCTTTCAGTTTCTTCTGGTGACGGAAATTGTTATTTGTAGGAAAATTAAACATTTCTCGTTATCAGTGGCTTTGGTTTGTAGCCAACACATACGGCTTTAATCCTTTAAATGAGATTATGTGTCTCTTGAAAGAGGAGATGTGTAAGAACTTTTCTTACACATGAAAAGGTACAACCTTACTTGGTCTGGTATGACCTGCAGCTTTTGGTGGATGATGCTAGTTAACTTTAACTCTTCTCTACTTGGGCTACTGTCACACAAAGCTTTTACATTTGCTTTCATCTCACAATTGACATTTGTAGCAACCATGGTGGCTGTTCAGCAAAAGTTATACAGCGTCTTTAAGTGAAATTGTATGGTTCAGTTGTTCCAAAATATAATTTCAACTGCAGTTAAACATCAGTTTGTTAAATATCAGTTGGGCTTCTTTACATGTGATTTTCGACAACATTGAGGAACTAAACTGTTTTCTAAAATACGGTTTTATTGGTTTCTACCATATTGCAGCGCCCAATCTGACAGAGAACATTATTTCATTTATTTAGGTTCAAATTACTAACTTAACTTAAATGAATAATAATGCTGCGTTGTAACTGACTAATTAACTCACGCACCGACTTTATTAATGCAGCAGTGACATGACTGCTGCGTGGGGATCTGTAAGGCTCTAATATGAAGACTCCCAGCGTGTGGTGGGGAAACAGCCCAGACTGCTTCCTGATTAGTTTAGTGGACCACAGGACGAGGTGGACAAGGACTGTGTAACCTGCCACTGTGTGAGTGTGTGAATGTGGTGTATGCATGTGTGTGTGTGCGTGTCTTTTTAAGGAGGGGGGATTTGACTGTGGCCGTGGTGGTTCCAGAACATGTAATTACTCCCACTTAGCATGGAGGGAAAAAAATATATAACAATTTCAGTCATAACACTGGCGGGAAATTATGATCGGGAAGCCACTGGCCATGGTCGATACTCTGTGTATATATATATATATATATATATATTTATAATTCTATCTGCACAGGCTGTTCTCCAAGTAGACACATTCGGAACAATTATCAATTTCCACCCAAAATACTCCGGGTGCACACTTCCAGCAGCGCCTCGACGGTGAGATCCAAGTGAGTCAGCATTTCCAGCGAAATCAAATGCGTCATCTGCTTCGTCCTCATGCTCACCCACAGGAGGACGGTACGCCTCGCTCGATATTTAGTGAGGTTAATCAGTGAATTAACCTCACTGAAACAAACCAATTAACACACATCTCACGTGAAACCAAAAGCACGCCCGGTGTGTCGTGAGGAGTTAGACCCCCGCCGCTTCGTTCCCTCAGAGAAGCACCGTGAAAATCTTCAGCTGAGTGACAGTTACAAACACAGGCTGGAGCTGCTGTTTGTTTTCTTGCGGGTAGCTGCGACGCCACGAGAATGCTACATTCATCATGCCAGAGCAAGTTTAAGATTGGTGATGACAATGCACAAGAGGCACAGGGAGAGTGCATTGGCATATGAGCGTGCAAAAGAGTCGGTGAGTCACTGGTCAGCTCTCTGAGAAAGAGACCGCAGCACTAAGGGAGACCGGCCTTAATGTATCTGTGGTAGGGTTCAATAAGGTGCTTTGATCAAAATCAATGACTACTCGGTGGGTTTTCAGATTTCAGTTCTCTCTCTGACTCATGCTCTTGAAACATTTCCTGCCCCGTTGAAGTTTAACACACTTCCAAAATCCTGTACAGAACCGTGAGGTTTGCTGTAAATGAGCTGTAGGATGCTATTATTATATCTGAGTCTGCTATACTGATATGCTTAAAGGTGCACTGATCAATATTTTTACATAAACAAAGGATCAAATTACAATGTGTAAAGAGGAAGGAGTCGCTCTTAGTAATGAACCTGTTCATCTCAGCTCCACGGGACGCTTTGGTGTCTTTCAGCTCATTGTTTTGGTTATAGAGGCCGCAACTTTATGGTTTTGATTCACTTTTTCACGGCTCTCATGCCTCCAGCTCCTAACCCTAACCCTCTACACTACCTGTTTAGTACCAAACACAAACAACTGACAGACAAACTAGCCAATGAACATTGTGGAGCAGCAGCTAAGCAGATATTTTCCTCAGGATCTGGTGGAGACCAAAAAAAGAAAGAGAGAGTATTGGATGACGTTCCGACACACGACTGTAAATGAACGCTAAAGTTGCTCTGTGTCTGCTGGATGTGAAAATAAGTTTGCTAACACATTAGCTATATCAACTTTGTCAGCCAATGTGACCATGTTGTGTTTTCAGTTAGTGGCTAGAGATATACATGTCGAGTTTTCTTGTAAACAATCTAACGAAAAAACAAGGACGGGGACCCACTCGTACCAAAATCTGAGCTCCAGTACGTTTTCTTCTCGAGTAGACATTACATAAAATTCTTTTGATTGAGGGAAAAATTATTATGGTTAAGCTTGGGAACAGGTTTTGCCCAGGGTTTTGCTTGGCAAACCAAGTTTATCATTAAAATAAATGCTTTCATTAAAGGACTGTTTGGTTGGCACCATGTGGTCTACGAATGAATGAAATAATATCATAATAAACTACCATTTCTATGAAGGTTTTACAAAGATGGCACCTGGCATTGCGGTACCTTTTCAGCTTTGACTGAGATATTTTGTTCTGTTCTTTTCAACTAAATTTTAAAAAGTTCTGCTTTGACTGACAGATTGTTAAAAATGTATCCGACCTGCTGACAGGGGGCTTCGGAAGGCATCTGTCAGCTGCAAAGTATTTACACCGAGCACACAGTTTACATTCGTAACACACACTCCGGACAAAGAGGAGCGGTTCGCTACAGTCGGTGTGCCAGGAGTTGGAAGATTGTCTGTGCACGGAGTATCAACAGAAGGTGAAGCTCTCTTCTCCCTTTTTTACTCCCCACACCTTCTCCAGCTAAATCCCTCTCTCCAGCACTCGGACCTCCCTCCCTGGCAGTGCTTTGAGCCCGATACGGCCACAGTTTAGATAAGCATTCTTCCACAATGAGAAGCCAGAAGTGTTTTCTTTTTCTTTTTTTTCTGCTCAAACAAAGCCCAAGAAATGCCTTTGGTTTCTGATGGGAGCTGTGAGTTTGTTTTCAGTTTAGGGTTATCCCAGGAACACGCAGGTTTCTCTCCAAAAATAGGCAGCACAGAAAGTGGATGAGGAGGACAGAGAGGGGTGGGAGGAGGAGGAGGAGGAGGAGGAGAAGAAGGGAGGGGAGCTTGGTTAATGAGCACCAGATGCCTTACCTTCGCTGGTAGCCACATTCTTTGGAGCTTTGGTCGGTGTGTGATCTGTGCTCGAACTTATGTCAGAAGAGATGCTTGAGCTCCCTTTACCTGCAGGGGAAACGGGAAGAAAAACAAAACTGCTGGGACACAGTATAGCAACTTTGAGATGACAAACTGCAGTTACGGTTTATCAGGGTTTCTTTTACCGTACAGCCTTTGAAAATCTTTTCAGTTGAGAGAAAACACTTTTTATGCTAAATTCCTGTCTGACAGAGATAAGGTGTTTCATGATGTATGTAGTACGGTAAGGAGGTATGAAGTTTAAGGGAATATAAAGCCCATCGCTCTCTGCTTTCATGACTTTTATGCTCCTCACTTTTGGATAAATGGTTATGGCTTGGCACGGGCAGAAAGTCTCTGCTGGTTAGTTTGAGTAAGTGTCCGACGAAGAATGAAGCCTCCCTAAATCCCTCCCCTCCCCCCCTGCCGTGGACAGACCCCCAGATTCAGCTTCACTGCTGCCTTCGACCTGCAGTCGGAGCTCCGGCCAGGAGCAGGGCTCCATCTCGCTGCTCCGCTGGGAGCCAACACCAACACCCCGCTGCTGGAGACCGAGACCGGATTGCTGGGCCCACTGGACAAAAAGGGAGGCACGGGAGAGCCAGGACCAGGAGTGAGCGGGGCAGACTCACAGACCCAGCTGCAGTAAAATGAGAGGTTTTCTAAAGGGACTCTGGTGCTAAAGAAAACTTTACCGCTTTTGTCCACAGGGGTTGCCAAAATCGACACAAAATTAAAGTTCCTCATACTGTAGTTGTTAACAAAATGTATGATCAGCAGCTCATTCTTAGTCGGTACAAGACTGTACAACAAATGTACAACTCTTCCTTTATGAGCTACCCTTGTGTTGTTAGATTTAGATTCCTACACAGAAACACAAGAGTGCTACATTTCAAAGAGCTATATTTTTGAATGTGTGCCTCTGCTGTCGGAGTGCAACAGGCCGCACCGCCATGCTGACTGCAGGCTGCATGTGGAGCAGTTGTTTATGGCATTTCATTCCTCTGTCAGATCATAAATGCAGCTTTGTGGCTTTCCTGAGACTAAGTATGCGCCTTTCACCCAGCACGAAACAGTCACACCCACATGCACATCAAGTGCAGACACCTAAAAAGACCAGACAGTTCCCGAAATAGGCAGTAAATATGAAAGCCTTTGTAGGGACAAAAGGAAAAAGGCAACCGGTGACTCCATATTCAGCCACACGCAAGATCACACTGACACATACGAAATCATTTGAAGCCAACGCAGCTCAAATGGTATGACATTTTGCGGTGACATCACAGAGCCTGCACATCTGCTACGACTCCTTCCGTCCCCAGAAATGGTTCCGAAATTCACAAGGTCCACTTTTCTAATATGTAAGCAGAGCGGAGAGCACACGGCTGGAAACACGAGTCTAATATTTAGCTGGTCACAGGACTCTCTTCCTCTGCATGTGTGGATCTGTGCGAGGACGATTGTTTTCTGCCTTTCGCGGAAAAGCAACTTTGAGAAAAGCTCCTGCTTCCTGTCTTCTGCTTATATAACGTGTTGGTCGAGGGTTGCTGCATAGTTGTGACCAGAGTGTAATTAATTGTGGAATCGCACTTGAAAACAGATGTGCAGATGAACTGCAGAGTTCTGCACTTGTATCTAAGATGCTGGCCTCAGACACTATAACGATGCTGATACCATCAATACTGTGCAATATTCTCTTCTGTGAAATGACTATACTTTGAATAAACATTCAACAAAGTGAATATTAATGACACAAGAGATTCCCATGAAACCAATCCCAGATCTGATACATGATCAGCATTGGCAATGTACTTACATTCTGTGATTTCCTCATTATAAATTACTTTTCATTGTTAGTGGCGGAGTCCGCCAATTCTCGACCGTATGCTGCCTGTGTGCAGCATGAAATTACATCGCAGTTAGATAAAAGCTAATTACCAACTGACTTTTGAATTAAAACAGCTAAACCTGCAACGATTAGTCGATTAGTTGATCTATTAGAAATGAATCATCAATTGTTTTGAGTGGTTAAATGCTAATGATGACAATATGTGCTGATTCCCTCACTCCTCTACGGTTGTAAGATAAATATCTTTGGTTTTTGGACCGTTGATCAGACAAAACAAGACATTTGAAGATGTGACCTTGGGTTCTGACGGACATTTTTTCACTATTTTCTGACTTTTTTATAGACAAAACCATTAAAGAATTAATCGGCGGAATAATGGATGCCGACAATAATTATCAGCTGCAGCTCTAGAACCAACATGAGTTTGTTTTTTACTTTAAGGTGCAATGTTTTTTTTTATTTACCAATAGAAGTAGACCCATCAGACAGCTGGTACATGTCTGTGAGTGTTGAGATATTAAAACAGTCATGCTGTGATATCATAAGAATTGTGCATTGTCCAAAACTTCTGAAAAACCCTCATCTGATGAGCACTTAATGTTTTCTTGCTGCAGGCCTGCTTCAACATGTTTCCATGTATCCCTGCACTTAAATCAGATGATTAAGCTGCATTAATGGTGGATCATAAAAGGGAAGTCTCCAGCATCAGACTCATCGAATCAATCCGTGTGAACTCACAAAAGAAGAAGGACTTAAACGGGGGTAGTAGTAGTAGTAGTGATACTGGATTTTGGAGTGTAATGCCTGTGTTTCATGTTGCAATGAAAGGGAGAATTAAGACCTAGAGGAGCATAAACACATATTTCCCAGCTTACTAATGCCTGCTAACATAATGAGAGGAATAAAACTAAAAGGAAGACTCAGATATGTGCTGTAGGATCCGTTCATGTACCTGACATGGCTGGATCCCTGGGTGGAGCTGGTCCACTTGTTATGTTTAACATCATGTCTTCCAATCTTTTCTCTGCAGTTATTGACTTAGGAAGAGAGCTCACTGGAATGTTAAATACAAACATCTCTGCTCTGGAGGCCGAAATAATGTGCTCGGCGGAGTCGGAATACAGGTTTTTTCCCCCTGAATAAGTAATGCTGAAGATTAGATGAGAAAGACAGCGGGGGAGAGAGGAGGTAGTGTAATACGAAGGCTGATATCTTATCCTGGCTGAAGGAAGTCTAACTAGGCCTATATAGTCTGAGCTGAGCTCATTAATAATCAATGAATCTTTGGAGCTTTTATCAATATATTGGTGTATGAGAGTCGGTTGATATGTATTTTGGTTATAAAAATATCAAAACAGAAGTGATTTAAGCTGCATTCCAGTTGGGTGAAACGTGTTTCTGAATATATCTGACAGCTGAGTGAGATGGACGGTGAATACCTCTGCCTGCTCGACCATCAGCTCTACATTACTTATGACTTTTTTTGTCTTATAGATCAATACTTGAGGCATAGAGCCAAACATTTCTTCCTTGTTTTCAATATTGCTTATTGCTTTTCATTAAGAAATAAGAGGGAACATTTGTATTTTTATTCTGACCAGAATCTCTTAACAAGTAGCTGCAGGAGAGCTAATATATGCCAAAAATACTTTTTTTGTTACAATATTACTCTACTATTGTAAATACTTTTACATGTACCCATAAGAAACCATATATTTGTTTCCATATAAAAGCTCTGAAACATTTTTCATTAAGACATTTTGTGTATTTTTTGTCTTCTGCATGTTTTTGTCTACACATGGATCATATAGTGACCAATATGCACAACATGGCTGCCAAATCAAATAACAGATGGGTTTTTAAGGGATTGTGGATCTGTGGAGTTGGCTCTTATCAAGATAAGACTGACAAAGTGCCCACATGCTTAAAAACACTGTTGTCCTTTGACCCGCCTCCACTAAACCTGCAGGAAAGCACTCTTTAAAAAAGCCCCATAAATTAAGCTCCTTGGTGTTGTCTGATGAACTGGCTTCCCTGCCAAGTCAGGTCTTTTTGACTGATTATGTGAGGCGGGATTTGATTTAAACATCACATCGTGTCAAACAATATCTCTCTAACTTTCATTATAGCACAGACAGTGGCTGGAAGTGTGCTTTGTTTAAACTTCAAATTGTATACTGTACTAAGTGTTTAAAATATGACCACCAGATGTCACTCTGTGTGTACGAAGAATATCAACGTTGCGCATCTTTAAAAAAGTAGTGAATATAAAATCAAAAGATGCGCCACATCAGCACACATCCTCACAATTTGCAGGTTTCTGCGCAAACAGAAAACACTTACACTGTGTGAATATGGGAGCCACAGAGATGTATAAAGGGAATACTGCTATTCTGAAGCTAGCTCACTAATGTCTGGGGAAGCTACAGACCCAAGAAACTGCACATTGTTTTCTGTTTTTTTTTAGTTTATGAGATAAACTGTAGCAGATCGCGGTCACATGTTGGCCTTTGTTGCGCCTAGTTTGATTAAAAAAAAGGTGACTTATGCGTGGAATTCAAATAAAAAGTGGTTTAAAGTGATAATTAGAGCACTTACCCTCGCTTCCATACTGTTTTCCATTGTTCGCACCCATTTTAAAGAATACATAATCTACGCGCAACACTCGGTGTATCAAAAGGAGTTAAAGTCCAGAGTAAAAAGGGAAGTCTTTCCATGAAGATAGACTAGACAGTCGGAGAGTTTCGTGTAGAGCCGCTAGCTCTGACTCCAAATAGTTAATCCAGATGTTGAGCATAGGACGCCTCAGCATTACGCAAACCTAGAGTCCAGACTCGAGCTTTCCAGCGGTGCAGACTTTCTATATCTGAACGTCCACAGACAAAGAGCGGTGAAGGCTACTCACACACACACACACACACACACACACACACACGCAGAGAAAAAAAAAAATCCAGATTCAAGGAGTTCGGAGAAAAGTTTTTTTGTGAAGTGGCCTAAATGGTAAGCAGCTGTTTATCAGGCTGAGTGCGGGCAATCACAGCGGCCAGACAACTCTGTGAGGACTCGCAGCTCTCCTCCTCTGGATCTGGATTTAAAGAGACCGCAGACCAGAGAGGGCGATGTGGATATTTAAAGAAAGATAAGCCAACGACGGACTGTGACTCAGAGAGCCCAGGAAAAAGTATTTCACTTCAGTAAAAGTCCTGAGATCACATACTTGAGTAAAAGTACAAAGGTTTAGTGGAGAAAAAAGTACAATAACTGCCTCTACAGTGTGATTAAATTGCCTATAAATTAGCATAAAATGGAAATACTGAAGTAAAGTACCTCAAATTTGCACTTAAGCACAGTACTTGAATAAATAGTTTATTTCTACCACTGGAATAACACAATCACAGTTTATAGCTGGAAGCAGGTTATTTCCCCTTATGTACATAATTCATATTTAAGCATTATGTCATCACAGGTGTGACTTTAAGAGATTCAGGCAATCAGAGTAGAGGACACATAATCTCGAAATATTCTGAGGATATAGGCCTGCTGACGGAAGAGAATGGTTCAACCACACATGTGGGAATGTGTCTATGAATAGCAGTCATGCAGGTCATCGGATATCTAGAAGTAAAGCTGCAGGACAAAACCAGTTGTCTGCAGTCGACAGGTGACTTATTCTGGATACACACTGAAATTCCTTTCTAAATGCACACGGCCGACAGCTGTAGCGAGGATATTTATGGTCTATATTAGGTTGTATTCTCTAATTACACAGATTAGTGTAGCTCCTCTGGTTTTATCTGTTTTCATAAAATGTCATGGGTACAATGTAAAATGCCTGAAAAAAGTGAAGAGAAGTGTCTAGAAGTACATCCGAATGTTAATGTACAGTTAGACACACAAGTCAAGTGTTTAAAATATGACCACCATATGTCACCCTATGTAATAAACATGCCACAGGTTTTGTTCAAACATCACTTCCAGCTCCATATCAGAGCAAATCCCCAAACTTTGAAGATGTTTTGAATGGAGTATGGCATAAACTCCACACAGAGAGAGAAAACACTTTGAAAGTGAAGATAAAGAGGTCATAGTTCAAGTTTGAAGCTAGCTCTCTAATGTCCAGGACAAACTCTATTTCTGCATGATGGATCTTTATGGAGCATGTTTTGCTTCTCTGCATTACATAGTAAAATATGATGGTATAGAGTATTTCTATATTGGTAGCTGTACTGGCTGGCACCCAGCGAAAGTAAGATATTTCCAACCGAGTTTCATTCCCACAAAGGTAGTTTACTCTGACACTTCGACGACTGCCATTTCTTTATTGTATATAAAAGAGGGGAAAACAACAGTGTGTGGTGTGAAATATTTTCATCCTGATCACAATCAACCCTATCCCTTTGATATTATTTATGCGTCCAGCGGAGCCACTTCTTATTTCAACATGTTGATCTCTATACTCTTACAAGCCATCAAGAATGCACTTTAACAATGTTTGATTGGCTCTCATGGCACCAATCAACTTCTCTTGGCTATCTGAGAGGTCAAACGCCAAAAACCTCAAAACCTTTACAGGCAGCAATCTCTGCCACACTGGAATGCATCATAAGAACCGCTTCAGCTTTCTGCAGGAGATGGACGTTCACTGAATTAACAAAACTGCTGCAGCTACACAACATCTCCAGCCGACAGAAAATGACCAAATACAAGTTACACGTGTTTCATGATGTTATACATGAAGAAACTTTTTCTTTACCAAAACATTTATTCAATTTAAAAAAAAAAAAAAACTCATTTTAAAAGAGGCGTAAATTATGCCATCGCATGTGAACACGCATACAGTTTCAGATCGGCTCTGACAGTTGGCCGCTATTGGTCATCCAGTGTGAAAACATCCACTAGACGTGAACAAGTAAGGGTTGACAGCAGGACTTGTGTTTATTTCAGGAGGGAGCTCAGAGTTGTCTACAGGTGCGGCACAGCAGGCCGAAGCAGAGGCACCGACGCCCTCCTCTGGCACGGCTGCACTCTGGGGGAACGCGGTCGAGGCGCCGTTGGTGTCGGTCACGGTGGCGCGCGAGGGAGCCGAGTGGTCACTTTCGGCTTCTGTGGTGGCCGGCCGGCTGGGAGAGAGTGGAGCGGAGGCGGTCTCCTCCAGCTTCCTGTACAACGTCTTCAGGGTCACGGGAACGGACATGAACCTGAGACAGTGTGAGAAGAGATCAGGCTGGGGCCAGAATGCAAAGATTGGTACGGTTTCAAACTACTGAACTTATGTTTAAGTCAGTCAATGCTATACTGCTGCAAATCATAACAATCTCAATCAGACTGTCCCCATGATGAAGGCCTGGAGCAATCATCCTCTTTGACTATGAATAAAAAGGACTAAATATAAGTTGTGAAGCCATACCTCTTCATGACAGTGGAAAGGTATTCCTCTAAAGAGGGATCCCCTAATCCTGATCCAAACAAAGTGCAGGTGATCTGATTAGAATCACACACGTTCACCAGCACTGTGGCGGGAAAGAAAAAAAGAGAAGAAGAAAGCACCAATAAGTCACAAAAGTCAGTTTTCTCTGTCATTATTTGCAGTTATCTTGAAATTATAAAACACTACGGGACAAAAGGATAAAAGTCCCAAACCAATCAGATAAATAAGAGATTCTGAAAAGCTCACAAACAGCGAGCGAGTCCGTGTCAGGTCGGTGGAAGGTCACAGAAAAGCTGGTCTCAGACTCCGGAAGGACTTCGAAGTGCAGGTCACAAACCAAACCTGGTGGCAGAATCCATCAACAAACCATCACATCACGTTTTCCTGCCAACTTTGCACAGATGGCCTTGTCCATTCGTACCGATTTAATGATTTTAAAACACGTCTCCTATACCTGCTCCGTCACACTGAGGAGTGATACAGCTCCTCAGCAGCGTGTTGATGGCACACTGGTGTCGGAGCAGCTCCAGCAGGGCCGGGAGGTGGGCCGGGTGGGTGAAGGGAATACTGTCCGCCACAGCCGCTCTCTGGGATGGCACCTCCCATGCAGCTCCGGGAAGGACGCAACGGTGCGTCACACCACCAGGAAGAGGCTGCACGGAAAAACTATTGATTCCTTTCGGGTCATACAGTACGCCTAAAGCTTGAATTATTTAGCTTGAAGTGAGCGCAGCTACCTTTCTTATCATACATACATACATACCACTGTAAAAATACTATCCCACTCATCTGGTATCTCCCTGGGGCTGTTTGAACTCGGTGAACGTCTCGTCAGAAGCTTGGGTAAGGGTGCCCACTGCAGGTCAACATCTGGTATGGCCACAGCTAGGAAATATCACAGAGGGGGAACGACTGAGCATGAGAGGGGATGATGCTTGCGGGCCATTTGTTCAAATAATAATAATAATAATAATAATAAACATAAAATATGAAGTGTTTTTTAAAACAAAAGTTACAAAGAGCTTTACATGGATGAACGGAGATTAGAACATTTCAGGACTTCTGGCAAATGAAAGCAGGCAAAGAAAACAAGTAAGACATGTGGCAAAAAAAGAGCTTTGAGAAGTGATTTAAAAGAATTTTACAAAGTGTAATATTTAAACTGACCTGTAATTTGGCTGAGCTTGTTTACAAAAGACGACATCATTGGTACTGCTGGCTGCAGTTTGAGGAGGAAGCAGGCAGGCAGCGTCTCATACGGCGCCTCAGTCGACGGCAGGAACACAGGATGACTACCACACGACACAATTTCACCACCATGAATGACATTCACAATCACTGCGGGATGCAAAAAGAAAAGATTAAAGTCTCCTGTTGCGTAAGAGATTAAACAGCAACATGTCACCCCTGGGGATCCAGCTGTGGAGGCTGGGGGAGCACAGATGCCATCTGAAGCTTGTGAGTCACATCGCTGACACCTACGGTCACCTGGGCGGCGTGGACGAGCGCCTCTGTAGGGGTCGCTTCTTCAAAAGGAAAAGCTTTTAAAAAGGAAAAGGTAGAAATGTTAAGGCCCTTTAAAGCCTCATGCATTCAAACGTTAACAGGTTTATAAAATACATTTGTTTAGACATCTTACGTATATCTGAGGTCTTCATTCCAGCAGTCGGAGTGGTATGGAACTGGATCGTCAGGGGGGTATCTAAAGGGATGAATTAAATATTAACTGAAGAAAAGATTCATGCATAATTCATGTTTTTGTTTCTTCTTGTTATGTACCTTCTTTTCCAGCGATCAGACACCCAATTCTGCCATTGTTGATCATGTCTGAGTCCTTTAGCACACTGAAAACAAATTATAGCTGCGCTGATAGGCTGATACGGTTGCAACAAATAATTATTTTCATTATTAATCTGAAGATTATTTTCTCAATCAGTCGTTTATGAAATGTCAAAAAGTAGCAAACAAAGCTCAAAGTGATGTCCTAAAATTACCATTTCACCCATAGTCAAAAGCTTATATCTTTAATTTAGTTTAGATTTATTGGAGTCTGATATCAAAAAATCAATCAACCAGTAAATTAAAAGCCTATTCGTCGCAGCTCTTTAGTTGTGTTTTTGGGGCATTTCTGTTTTTATGTCGCTTACCTTGGCAGTTGTGATAGTTTCTCTAAGTCCTTCCCGAGAAATTGCATAGATGAAAACAATTTCAATTTGATTTCACTGAAACATAAAAAAAACACAAATAGTGAAATGAGTGCATGAGGCCCACAGTTGCTTTAAAGGTGAAATCATACACTTTGAGAGCAGCTATACTTGTCTCCGGGGATGTTGTACTGGGCGAACAGGCGCGCCAACTTCATGGAGAACTCAGCAAAATGTTTTGCCCTGCACCATAAAAACAAAACCGTAGCATCAGCATGTAAAACAATTTATCTTTAAGTAATCATTTAAATAGCACGGCCCTCTTCATCTGGCAAGCAAAAAAACGACAACATTTGAAATTTATCATCGCTCAAACGCTTACCTCAGCAGCTGGAGAAAGGACTCGCTGGGCTGCAAGACAATTTCATTTTATCATCACGCAGAGTGTAAAAGCAGAGCAGTGCGAATGGCAACGTAGTCCACTTACAACAGGGGATCCTCCATGAGGGGCCACCTTCACCTCCTCCACCCCGCCACCCGGCAGCAACACCACCTCCAGGTAGAACAGATCTGCTGTCAGGTAGCATGTGGCCTCAGTAATGTGAAAGCCCATTCTAGGGAGGACAGAGAGGGGATGTGGGAGGAGATCTGTGTCACCTCATTATATTACAAGTGAAAAGAAGCTCTAAAGTGATGAAGATCTTGAAGGGCTTTTGAAGTCAAATATCACAAGTTTAAAGTCAACTCTCTACCTTTGTTGTTTGGCAATCGCCTCCAGACGGGACCTCATGGTATTCATGGAGGACACTGAAACAAACAGAGAGCAACTTCCTCACACGTTAAGCGGCACACATGCACTAAAATACATACTGAATCATTGGTATGCTGCGCGTTTACCATTAAACACTTCCTGGAGCCGTTCAAGTGATCTAACCAGTGGCTCACAGGGTTTGGATTGATCTTTGGGTTTGTCCTATCGGGAGACAAAGGGACGAAACAAAAAGACAATGGACCGGTTGTGAGGCAAAGTGCTCCTTGTGTAAACAGTCTTCGGTCCTGCCATCCCATGACACCCTTTGATTGTGTGCACTTTGGGATCTATGTGTTTTTGAAAACCAGGGAGGCTGCAGAAATGCGAAAATACATTCTGCATTGTCAGTGCTTTGTATTTTTGAGATGCCTGGTCCTATAAAAGTCCTATTCAGCATCACTGCTGGCAGGAAACTGCATGACTAGCCCCAGCTGCCTTATCCCCCTCGGACCACACATCACTTCAGACCACCAACTAATCACGTATCTTTACGAGACTCCAGAGACTGACCTCTGCCAAGCTCCACTTTGCATTAATCCAAATGTACTATCTATCCTGCCGCTCCACACATCTAAAGAAAACGAACACACCCTCTCACAGCCTCAAGCATACACATGACACTTTGTTGAGTGGAAAAGACCTCAGAATCTGTGAAGCTTTGCGTGTTGGGCCCTAATCCTGTAGCCTGATCATGTACATCCAGTGGAGCATCTTCCAAAGAACAAATGGTGATTGTCTTGCCAAAACATGACAGTGTCAAACGTATCAGAAACAAAGCCATGGCCAGAAGGCAACTTACAAAAAACAACTTTGTTTCGTTTCAAAAAAGGCTCTCTTCTCATACTATATGCCATGTGATTGAAGTGAATCCAAGTTACCATCAATGCACAAACTGACCCAACAACAAAGACGTTGTGTGTTGCGGGTTAGATGATCTCATTCCCAGTGCATCGCCACACCAGTTCCCGATTTGCTGCACAGCATCATATTAAGAGAAGCCATCACAAGTCTAATATCTTTTATTGAAGCAACCGTCACCTTTCACTGCACAGAACTAATGTAAGGACATACCTTCAAATAGGGATTGTATGTGATGTCCATGAATTGCACTGTGGCATTTAAAAAAAAAGGGGGATTTGAAACTAACATGCTGATGGAAACAGAGGAAGTGTTTATGTGGTTTTACCATGCATCTTCGAACAAGCTGAAAGGTTTCATTCCAGGTTTTCTCTGCAAATTTCAAGTGCAGCTTGGAGATTCTGGACTCCATGACTAAAGCATACAAAAAGGAGAAAAACAACAGTCGTTAAAACTACAACATCCACACCCTTACATTTGTAATAACCTTTTCTTCCATTTCATAAGTAGCCTACAGTTGGATTTTGAATGATAAAACGTTTGTTATTTGTTTAAACCAACATTACCTTGCTCCTGAAAGTCACTTGACAATAGTCTCCACCTCAACAAACGTGCCAACAGTTATGCGGATTATCCAATTAATCAATTGTCTTGCATGTTCAATCCACTGCCCTGAATCTGTGTTTAATGCGCAACCACGATGCAAACTGATTTAGGAATTGCAGCATTACTTAAAAACTGTTGGGCGATGTTTGTATTAGTGAGAAATTGATGTGACATTCAAGCAGGGTGTTTTCTGGTTCTCTCTCATGCAGGCGGGCGTTGTCAGACGGAGCCAAGCCCACAGAACGTGCAGTCAGTCCGCTGCTAAGTCTCTGGAGTTAGCTATAGGGAGCTAGCCATGAGCTAACAAGCAGCTAGCTCAGTCTCCTCATATTGCCACCATAATTCAACCGACGTACCAAGGTGAACAACCGTCTAATATACCGGTAGGTGATAATATTCACATTAATTTTGCTTATGTAACGTCACGTTTGCGCTCTCTTTTTTTATTTGTACGTTGCATCGTTTAGTTGTGATTAGCTGCTCGTTATGGCTTGCTAGCCTTTTTTTTTTTTTTTTTTTTAGCTGTGGCTCGCGAGGATCGACCGAACATCTGTTGCTGGATAACCGATTTTAAGGATGCGTGTGTTTTTTTTAAATGCGTCATCTGTTATCTGCTACCCTTCACGTTAATCGCCCTCACATGTAAATTAACGACCAGGTGTCGTTAACCAGCTTTGGGGTTGGTTAGTTAGCTTGTTAGCCACATCGCTACCTTCAGTTTGACATGCACCCAGCTAACTAGCTAATAAGTTGACATGATTATAAGAGTATTGCGTGTTGTTACTCGTGATTTCAGTCGTCTGTTGGTGTAATAATAAGGTGACACTGTCGCTTGCTCTGCTAACAGTACAGGTGATCTTATTGTGTCGTTGACGTGCCTGTGTAATTACCGTTATTGAGCCAATTCCATGATCCGCTTATACACAGTTACTCACTTGTTTAAGGTTACTTAAAATGCTAAACATGGTTGGGTATGAGTCACCAGTCATACCATTTGATAAGAGATATATTTCCTTACGTTGGCATGGTGAGTGGATTTAAATGGTTAAAGTAAAAGGACACTAAATCGTAATATAGACTTTTAGTGCATACACCCCTTTTGTTCATTTGTATAATGACCTGCTGGCTGCACTCCCATCTCTATCCCTGATCCCCAGAGAGGTCTGTGTGGACCTGTGACAGGGAAAGAGCATTAACACACACTTTATGGCTTTCCCATTCTCTTCTTGGACTGTCCAGTAAATGGCTTTGGCATATGTCAGATTTCATGTCAAAAGGTTTTGGAAAATGCTGCCAGATGTTACCCAGAAGCTTTAAAAAAATGATATTTCTTTGCTAAATGGCTTTCACAGGGTCCTCTTGGGTTAGTGGAATTTGCCTACTGTGTGTCATGATGTATAGTAGTTAAGTCTACTTATCCATATTTCATCAGTGGGTGGTGGTTTCTGACTTCCAGCAAGTGAACGTTGGCTGTAAAATAGCATTGCATTCTTAATTTTGCTGATCTATATTTGACCGTGAATGCACTTTTCTGGCAGACCTTTTTTAAACTTCATGCAGATATCATCTTCTGCATATTGTGTGGCCTAAATATTATTTCTTCCTGTAATGAAATCTGTTTCTATGACTTTTTCTCTGAAGAAAATAAAGAAGTAAAGGAACAGTGTCCACTCAAAGCTACACTAAGGGACATATAATCTGTCTGCAGGAACATAGCTGCAGGGAGGGGCAATAATGAAAAGCACAGATTATACAGCATCAATCTAGTGCCGCTGCTCATTATCACATTTCATCTTGCCGTAGTCTTAACCAGGGAGCGAGAACAATCCCCTGCACTAATGTTACATAGCAGATTCTCCTGGTTTTGTTTTATTGCTGTGAGACACAGCGATGACTCCGCAATCTAACTGCAGGACTGGATTCTAGAGCCTCGTAAATGATGATGAAACATCTCTCTTTTTTTTTTTTTCTCCCCAGGAATTATCATTCGGCAGCTGGATTTTAAGGTCTTCATTTCACAATCCTTCCCTTCACCTTGAACCGTCTACCTTCTCGCACTCTCAGCACACAGAGCCATGGCTGCTGCTAAGCCGAAAGGGCAGAACTCTCTAGCCCTTCACAAAGTGATAATGGTGGGCAGTGGAGGGGTGGGGAAGTCGGCCCTCACGCTCCAGTTCATGTATGATGAGGTGAGCAACAGTCAAGTAAACTCCACATGTTGTCGAAGTAGGAAAGACCAAATTGACCCCAGTTGTAAATGTTGTTTTTTTTCTCCCCGTTGTAGTTTGTAGAAGACTATGAGCCCACCAAAGCAGACAGCTACAGGAAGAAAGTGGTGCTGGACGGAGAGGAGGTGCAGATCGACATCCTTGACACAGCTGGACAGGAGGACTACGCCGCCATCCGAGATAACTACTTCCGCAGCGGCGAGGGCTTCCTCTGTGTGTTCTCCATCACAGAACTGGAGTCATTTGCAGCAACAGTTGACTTCAGGTCCAGTAGCGTAGAATGTTTGGCATCCATTAGAATGTATCTTCTCCCCCTGCGAAAATGCAGAAACAACCTTTTGTTGTTTTGACATTTTGGAACATCATTAACCTCATTCACTTGAGCAAGCAGTAGTGTTTTTATTCATGGCTGAATGACATTTCTTTTTGTTGTTGCAGAGAGCAGATTCTGCGAGTGAAGGAGGACGAGAATGTACCCTTTCTCTTAGTTGGTAACAAGTCTGATTTGGACGACCGACGGCAGGTCAGCGCTGACGAGGCGAAGGCCCGCGCCGAGCAGTGGGGCGTGTGCTATGTGGAGACTTCCGCTAAAACCCGCGCCAACGTCGACAAGGTACGTTCGACTGACATACGTTTACGTCGTCGATATCGGAGCAAACAGGGAGACGTGAACCTGTACTTTTTGTGTTTTCAACAGGTGTTCTTTGACCTGATGAGAGAGATCCGGGCGAGGAAAATGGAGGACAGCAAAGAGAAGAACGGCAAGAAGAAAAGTAAAAGTTTGGCCAAGAGAATCCGAGAGAGATGCTGTATTTTATAGTGGTGGAAGAGAGCAGGGGAGCTGCTTATGTACATATACATTTCTCAGACTTTTGCATTTATTTTGTGCCCATACCTGACCATGACTTTCCGTTCCTGGCTAACAGGACATCTGACCCGCGTGTCGGAGAATAGTAAGGTGGCACCCCATACACCACTCATAGCTCTAACTTTTGATGTGCTGACACTCCAAATACTTTATGTACTCTGACCACATCACAGGGTGTAATAACTGGATGGTGTTTGATTTAGGCCTAAGCTTGACAAGAGGCTACGCGCGCCCCCCCCCCCCAAATGTTACCAAACCTTTCATTGTAAAGTTTGACGTGTTTAATATATTCAGACTGTGCAGTTCAAAAGAAAAAGACACAAATGAGTGTCAGCGCTGAGGTTTAAATGGGGACGTTGGGTAGGAAATATAAGTGAAGAGACTCGGTGTAGTGTCAACCCAGAATTCATCAAGTGCAGCCAAGGAAATGTAGTTTGCACCGGTGAATCTATGAAGCATTTGAATTGATAGTTCGTTACTAAGAGCCGACATTTGATGCCATTCCCATTTGTTGTTTTGCAGCTCAATTCTTCTAAGTGGTAAGGTTGTGAACACTTATTCTTCCTTTTCTTGTCCTCTATCATATCGACTAGTTTAAGTTATAAGTGCACTAGTGTTTCCTTTTTCTATCCCCTTCGCGTCACTTTGTTGAGTCCTCTCAAATGCACAAACATTGCTCGTTACCCCGAAATCTGTGAGGGATTTTGCAACACTTGAACTTTTTTCATTTCAGAAGTTTTACCTCGCTTGGCCTTTTTTTCTTTTTCTTCCTGCGCTAAAGGAATCCCTGGTGCTCCTGATAAAAGGCGATTCCATTTACCTGCTGTCGTTAAACACATGACGTTAAATAAATTGCTTACAGTCTTGTAAAGATTTATTTTGCCAATTTAACTTTTCCTGGCTCCGATTTTTTTTTTTTTTTTTTTTTTTTTTTTTTTTTTTAACTTTAATGTATTTCTTAATAAGGAACTCAGTGTGAATTAATTAACGGACCGATGAGTTTGAAGGCATACAATGTGAAAAATGAATGCAGGCTCGATAGAAGTCCAAAAAACAAAAGTTGCTCTCATACACCAAAGAAGTATGCTAGCTAGTACAAACAAGTGCCCACTTATTACTGGAAGTGAATGACGACTCGCTATAGTGAGCTTCAAAAGGAAGCGCTGCACTGTTTGTGTGAAATCTATCTTTGTCCAACTGAAGGCAAAAGTTGAGGAACTTTAATGGTGAACGGCCTGGGAATGAAATGCAAGGTTACGGGCGATTTAGTAATTCATGTACAGTGCATCACTGTTGCCTCACTGTCCATTGTGAATGTGAATATCCCCCCCCCCCCCCCCCCCCCCCATACCCATCCTGTTGCCTGTAATCTTAGCCTGCCAGTGATGTGCAGAGTTTAAAGGCCATTGACATTCTACTTTGTTTACCTTTTGTTCAACGTCTTAATGTAATACCTGTTCATTTCCTCGTGCTCCTCATGTCGTAGTCATTTTACAGGCAAGTGAGGATTAAAGCAGTGGAAACAAACAATTGGCAAAATGAGAATGCTCTACTTGACCAAAACGCACTGTGACGTCTGCCCCTCTGCTCTCTTTAGTTTCCCTTTATGACTGAGCCGCTTTTTGTCTTTTAACTTATTTAAAATAACTTATTTATACTGTCCACGTTTCACTCTGATCCAGTTTAAAGAGTAAATGTGTGCATGTGCGGCTCACCATTTACATGAAAAGGATTTCCTCAACCAATAGGATGCCCGACACTGGAGTCTATGCAAAAACATGATTGTTGTCTTTGCAAAGAGGAAGAGAACATACAACTTGGGAGACTATTCAAACCAGTGTCAGCGCGTTGCACTAGAAGCATTTAAGCTTCGAGATCTGACCACAGAACAGCTGCTTTTATATTTGAAAACACTGAACATTGTCTCATTGATTCTCTGAGTTAATACATTAACACTAAATAACTCCTGGCTTTGATTACAGGCTTTGTCTGTCATACATTACATTGTATGTGTTGTACTTTAAAAAAGACTGTCCGTGGTATTTCGTGTTAACTGAAAAGCACACAGTAGAGAGAGATTTAAGAGTTTTAAAGATATGTGACTCGGACCCTAAATGTTGGGAACTCGTGGCATCAGAATGTTTAGAAAGTAATTTTATTTAATATGTTTTAAGGGCTAACCTCCAGTACACCATGCCACCTGAAAAGTTAAAGTGACGGGCGCAGAAACTGACACACAGAGTAAGGATCCCAGTGTGTTGAGGCGTACCTTCCTCAGCTTACGGCCATTACATTAACTGCTGTGTGTCGCAGAAGCTACCACCATAGTGCTTGTTTACTCATAACATACGCTTGTAGAAACAAACATTCGTCATTCCTTTTCTTCGTCTCCATGTCAATATGGCCGAGATGTTTTCAATTGCCGAGACTAAAACAGATATTTGTGTGAAAGCTTTGAGCAAACTGTCCTACGGGATATTTGAATATCATTTTTTGCCTTTTTATATATTAAAAAAAAAAACCTCGGAAATAAAGAGTATATATCTATGTCTTTGATTGGATGGTTGTATGTATGCCATCGATTCGATGTCTCCTTCATATTTACTTATTTTGAACATAACCACTAATGTAGCCTGTTTGTGAATGTAAGAGGTGACGCTTACATTTCAATTCATTTTTTGTTTGTGAGTTACTTGGAAATGGCAAATAAAGTGGATATTACTAATAACATTTTCCAGATGTGTTCAGATATTCTTTGTGCAGATTTATGACTTGAGTTATTACAGTGAGCAGGCAGAGGGTTCCTCTGGGACTCGTACTTCTGTGAACATGCTGAATGCCACCACCTGCACAACCCGACCTTGTCTATCGATCAGGTGAAGGTGAATTTAACGATGTTTGTCCCATTAGTTACTGTGAATTGCCCGATACATCTTTTTACTGTAATTTAATGTACGTCACATGCAATCACGGACAGCTTGGCTCAGCCCATATCTCCGTGTTTACACCATCACACTGACTGGCATAACTGAACGCACCATATGGTCCTTGCAAATATGCAGCACACGGTCATAGAGGAGGACAATGGGGAGTATTGATTTGCTAGTACAGACATGCTTAACAGTTGGTGTGGGCCTTTGATGTTTGATAACAGTGGAACTTAGAAATAGCATTTAGAGTACGATGCAGACTACTGGCAACATATTTTAATCAAAGTGAAGTCGGTATAAAATTGTTATACATGTAATATATTTGTTGTATTTTTCTTTTTACAATACCAGTAATACTTTAACTAATTAAATCTAAATGTTGATTTAAGACTATAATATTGTATGCTCGTTCATTTTCTCATGTTTTGTTCATATTTGCACAAGTATTTGATCTCATTTGATGTTTTAAGAGAGAATACAATTAAATATTTCCCAAAATAAATGTCTGTAAAGCAAGTTTTGCCCATGATCTCGTGTGTGGTTCAGGAAATAAGATAAAACAATACTCCACCTTTTGTGTAAATTGATGCTTTGATTTGGAAATGTTTATTTTTTTAATAAAGCTATACGTTTTGAAAGTAGGGTTTCCCTTGGCGGTGACGTAACCGCTTATCTAGATTACGCATACGGGTATCATTGGTTCACACCGACGCACAAGGCCTGTAGTTTGAAAGCTGTCTGGGGCCCTGGCGAAGTGTACTGCTAGCCACATTGCGAACAAAGTTACAATCTTTTTGAAATAAATTCAAGGAATAGTGGAGCCATTTTATCCCGGAAACACGTCTGCTACTTTTGGGACCATGCGGTGGTGAGAGGGAGCAACAGCCCGGCGAGATACGTGGAAGCAGGCGGTGTTTTTTTTTTGTTTTTCTTTTACTAGCATTGTTATATTGCATCTTGACTGAGTTGCATTGAACTCCACACGCAAGGAGAAAAGAAAGCTAGCTGGCTAAGGTGCTAGCCGGCTAGCTGGCTAGCGGCGGCTATCCAGCCAACTCGCGTGCTATTCACTTCCTTGTTGCACACTGGAGTGTGATGGAAGGCGAGCTGAAGTTTGTGGAGGGGGCACGGAGTTGTTTTACTTTGACTTTAACCCGATCTGGTTAATGGATTTACATGCTTGCATGAGCTGCAACATTACAGAAGAACTGGATTTTAAATTTAGAGGGGCTTTGGGCCTTGTGCTTTGACCATGAAATGGAATACGACTGTCTAGCTTGGACACAGTTAGCTATTGGAAGCTTGCTGGCGGCTAAACCGACTAGCATTAGCTAGCGAAACTGAGATATTACAGTACCAACTGGCTCTATAACTAAACGGCATATTGTGGATTTTATGTGGCGGAATCGACAGGCACCAAGTGTCATGAAATAACTACCATCGGGGGTAACTCACTTTTCTTGAATCTGATACGAACTAGCTTTGCAATGCTAATGTTAAGCTTTTGATTTAGCTAGGTTAGCTAGCTAGCCTGCTGTTTTAATTGTGAATTAGCTGTTAGCCTGTCGACGTTACACTGCTAAGCCCAATGTTTTGTTCCACGACACAAGGACCATAGTTGTAGTAGAGAATATAATATATAGATTATTCTCATACGTGGCTCTTTTGGGGGTTTTATTTTGTAGATAAATGCCTAATTCAGAGGTGCTTCGCGAGGCTCGCGGACGGAGCCCCTCTGCTCAGAGGAATGCTAACAGACAGGACAGGCGTAGCAAACCCGGGAGCGGTGCTGCTCAGCGAGACAGACACCGGGAGAAGAGGCGGTCGTCGGCTTCTCGGAAAAAGAAACGCAGACAGACTAAGGGAAAGGATCTGTGGTGCACCGGTACAACGGGAGACCCCAACATTAACCGAAAGGGCACTTTTGATAAAGACGCCGAACTTCGGACATTGGTAGAGTACGATGACGTGAGCTCCCAGTCAGAGAGGTTTTCTGGCAGCCCTTCTCCCAAACTTGACCCCCACGCTGCTGACAGGCTGTCAGTGGACCGACTCAGCGATGGTGACTGTAATGGACCGGCTTCCCCAGACAGAAGTCACCCGAGAGACCGGGAGGCGGTGTGCGTCGGCAAAGACGAACAAACACGAGGACCATCCGAGAGGAGCAAGCCAGAGAAGGACTTGCCAAGCAGGAAAAAGGACCGCCAGAGCCGCGAGAGAGACTCCTCCAAAGTCAGGAGTGGAGGTAGCCTGGGTGGCTCTAAGAATCCCAGAGACACTACAAGGAGCAGTGACAGAAATGGTAAAAGGACATCTTCATCCCAGTCCTCGCAAACTGCAGATAAGCGGGATTCAAAAAGGCCGAAGAGTAAAACCAGATCTGATAAAGAGCCACCATCTGCATACAGAGATGCTCCACAATCCTACAGGGATGAGCGGGAAGACCCCAGGGCATACAAGAGAAGTCCTGCTTTGAAAGCAGAAAGTCCCTATGGGACGTCTTATTCATATAGCTACCAGTCCCCTGGTGGTTATAACCAGCCAATATCTAGAAGAAGTCCAACTTATGGGAGCAAAAGACTCTCTCCCAGCTCCGCATATTACAGCCGGGATGGAGATGGGTACGGGCCGTACGGTGTGCCCAAGTCACCCACTTCCTACTCCAGCAACAAAAGGAAGCGATCTCCAGCGAGCCCAGCAAACTGGCGCAGGTCCCCAAGTTATGGCCGACACAGTCCGTTTGAACAAGGAGAGTTCGGTGCAAGTCCTTATGGGAACCGCAGGAGATCCAGGAGTCCATACAGAAAGTCCCTGAGCCCAAGTCCAGATGTCAGGTCAGTTCTTACAAAGTTCTTACATTTTAGGCCCATGTAGAAATATGGCTAGTTTGACCCGTCTGACATTTATTCTTAGTGTTTTCTGTCAATATTTGACCTTCCAAAAACCTTTGACCAGACTGTCCAGCATGTGACATTGGTGTTGTATAACTTGCTCTATATGTTATGTCTTCATATTTAGATATCCACTAGATTTTCTATCTTGTACAAGATCTAAAAAAAACGTCTCCATGTCATTTTCTTTCCAGGCGATCTGCTCGATCACGTAGCAGAAGTCCATATTCAAAGCATTCACGCTCTCGTAGTCGTCACCGCCACTCTCGCTCCCGCAGTCGCCCCTCTAGCCTCTCGCCGAGCACGATCACCTTCAAAACCAGTCTTGCTGCTGAACTCAGCAAGCAGAAAAGGGTTAAAGCTGCAGAAGCAGCGGCCAAGGCTAAGAACTGCAGCAACACATCTACTCCAACCAAGGGCTCCTCATCTGCTCATCAACCCAGCCCGAAGCCCAATCACACATCCAGAAAGGGCCGCCCTCCCTCCCCACCGCAGCCGGAGAAAGGTCCCAGAACTCCCACATCAAGCCTGCCCCAGTCCCCCTCCGACAGGTCGGCCAAGAGGACCGCCGAGCACCCGACCAGCAGGGACAGAGATGGAAAGGGGAAAGATGACTCTGTGCATCGGGACAAAAGGAAAGCGGCAGCGGCTGGACAGAGCAAAGAGAAGGAACGAGCCACTGGTCCACTCATCTCCGCTCTAACATCCCTACCATTGCCCCTCGCGGTTCTTGAGCACATGAATAAAGGAGAAAGGTATGCATGTGTCATTGTGCCAGTTGACCTATAATTCTTATTCATAGTTGATTGTCAAGACTTACTCTGTTCTCTTTGTATGTATTTTTCCTGCTATCAGCTTGCTCTCAGGGAAGAAAAAGTCAGAGAGAAAGGCCCGTCCGCTTCTTTCCGACTTGCCTCTCCCCCCTGAACTTCCTGGTGTCACGTCTTCCCCGCGCAGCCCACCCGACGACAAGAAGTCCCAAACTCTTCGCCGAAGACCTAAGTATGTTACGACACATTTAGTACCGTGTCATCTTTTCTTACGCTACAGTTTGCTGTGTACGCTCACTTTACTCCCACTAAAATATCTATTTTCTTGTATTTTCCAGAATCTGTGGCCCGAGATACGGCGAGATCAAGGAAACTGAGATAGATTGGGGCAAACGCTGTGTGGATAAGTTTGAGATTATTGGAATCACAGGGGAAGGCACCTACGGTCAGGTGTACAAAGCTAAAGACAAAGACACCGGTGAGTGTTCATTCTGTTACTCCACATCAACATTGTAAATATGGATGCATTCTCTGTTATATTGAGGTTGCTGATGCTGCTGATCTCCTATTTCTTCCGTTTCACAGCTGAAATGGTGGCTTTGAAGAAAGTTCGGCTGGACAACGAAAAGGAGGGCTTCCCAATCACAGCCATCAGAGAGATTAAGATTTTGCGACAACTCAACCACAAGAGCATCATAAACATGAAGGAGATCGTCACAGACAAGGAGGACGCTCTCGATTTCAAGAATGATAAAGGTACGTTATGTTCTTTAACAGCTCTATGGTCCTGCCACACGATGTGGATTTGTTCTGATGACTAAATCTTTATTCTCTCATCTCAGGCGCTTTCTATCTCGTCTTCGAATACATGGACCACGACCTGATGGGTTTGCTGGAGTCCGGCCTGGTGCACTTCAACGAGAGCCACATCAAGTCGTTCATGCGACAGTTGCTGGAGGGCCTCGACTACTGCCACAAGAAGAACTTCCTGCACCGAGACATCAAGTGCTCCAATATTCTGCTCAATAACAAGTGAGTCCTCAGTATTTCTATAATCAGTATGAACAGTCACATATTTGTTTCTGGACTACATTAATTAGTTTTTCCCCTTCCTATTCAGAGGTCAAATTAAGCTGGCAGACTTTGGTCTCGCTCGGCTGTATAACTCTGAAGAGAGGTGAGTCTCCGATGTTCTGAGTAGACTTGTTGAGCTGTCGCGCCTTCACAATTTTCCCTCTTGTGTGTGGTAATACTAACAATACTTGTCTTTTGTTCTCTTTGTCAGTCGTCCGTACACCAATAAAGTGATCACACTATGGTACCGTCCCCCAGAGCTGCTCCTGGGAGAAGAGAGGTACACGCCGGCTATTGACGTGTGGAGCTGCGGGTAAGAACATAACCGTTTACTTGTTGTTGTCACTTGATTATCTCCCCGTTGGTATTGTTTTATATCTTGTTTTTGTCTCTCACAGATGCATTCTTGGAGAACTGTTCACAAAGAAACCAATTTTTCAAGCAAATCAGGAGCTTGCACAGTTGGAGCTCATCAGGTAAGTTTAGTCTAAATCATGTTAATGTTTGAATTCAGATCCAGTTGTGAGCTCTTGCCCGGTTCCCACTAAGCGCTGCACCCACTGAGAATGGGCTTCAGCTATCTGAAACAGGAAGAGAAAGCGGTACTCAAGTACTGATTGCCTCAATCGACCATAAAGCTACGCAACCACAAGATGTTTTCCTTAGTGGGCGCCACTTGTTTTCTTATGACTGGCCTTGTTAGAGGAAAGGTGGAGGTTGTGATTAATGTAGTGGAGGCCGACCGCCTCTGCTGGGGAAACTTTCTGCTGTGAGCTATGCACGCTGTAAAATGTTTAATTGTTCTTTCGTGAGGGAGGACAGACATGCTTGCATATTCAAATGTGAATGAAAGCAACAAGTCAGGCCAGTTTTGTGGGTGTTGTGATTTTGAGATATGTAGAGAGCCTATTGGGTCCACACATCGCTGCGTTCTGGTAAAACAAGTTCATTTCTGTCTTTCAGCCGGATATGTGGAAGCCCCTGTCCTGCTGTCTGGCCGGATGTAATAAAACTTCCCTTCTTCAACACCATGAAACCAAAGAAACAGTACAGGAGACGGTTACGAGAGGAGTTTGCTTTGTAAGTCCATGTATATGACGTCTAATTGAAGATGTGGCCCTCTAGCAGTGCATTGTACTGAACTGCCTCTGTTGTCGTCCAGCATCCCTCCGTCTGCCCTGGACCTGTTTGACCACATGTTGAACTTGGACCCCAGCAAACGCTGTACAGCCGAACAAGCGCTGGGCAGCGAGTTCCTCAAGGACGTGGACCCAGACAAGATGCCCCCGCCAGAGTACATCTTCCTTACTTCATGTCGCATGCAACGTGTTCATCACCAGGATTTACAGTGTTAACGGTTTTCCTATCCCTCCAGTCTTCCGCTGTGGCAGGACTGTCACGAGCTGTGGAGTAAGAAACGTCGGCGGCAGAAGCAGATGCCAGAGGAAGCGGCGGCCCCCAAGGCGCCCCGCAAAGAGCTGGGCCTCGACGACAGCCGCAGTAACACTCCTCAGGGCTTCCCTGCTCCCGGAGGGGTTAAAGCTCCCAATGCGGCTGCTTCTACACTGCTGGGTCAGTTTAACCGCTGTTTGCATTTCTACTTATTAGTATTAGCTTGTCAGCCACCGGTAAACAGCTCTTGCACGTACTCGTATGAAAGGTGCTGTGCTAATAACGCATCATTTGAGGATGTTGCAATGCATCCAAAACAAGTACAGCTGGAGTTTACTCAGTATGTATCGGTCACTTTTAAAGGTCAATAAAGCTTTGCAGCTTTGTTTCCCATAAACACACTGAATCAAGCTTACTTCGGTAGTAGCCCCTTCAGTACTGAACTGTGTAGTATTCACACCTATGACTCGTCTAACTTGTTTTCAGTTTTACATTCAGAATGATTTTTGTCATTTGAATTGGCATTAAAACCCATTGAGATTACTGCTTTTTAATGAATCTTAGCTACAGTCGAAAGCTCCAGAAAAGGCTCGTAAATACACAGATTATATCCCAGATGCGTGTTCCCAAGGTTAAGAATCTTCTGTCTTCTCACAGACCCAAAGGGTCCGAGCTCCCAGTTGACCCAGGAGCAGCTAGCGGTCCTCCTGAACTTCCTCGGCCAGTCCAAGAGTTCGGCCAACACAGCCCAGTTCGTCCAGTCCATGAGCACGAAGGTGAATCAGGAAACATTACAGCAGCTCTCCAAAGCCCTCGGGCCCTCTGACCCAGCTGAGCCTCCTCCTCAACCCGCGCCGGCGAAGCCTCCCCAGCCCGCCGCCCCGTCAGGCGTGCCCCGTACGCCCCCGATGCCCAAGCCTCCTTCACCCCCCATGTCTGCGCCGTCGGGTATTCCAGAAGGAGAGGCCGCAGCTGCCACGCAGACGGCCATGACGATGCTGCTGGCCCAGCTCCTCCAGGCTCAGCAGGCTCCGAGGCAGGAACCGAGTAATGGTGGAGAAGGGGCGGAGAGTACCAACCCAGGAGCAGCAGCAGGAGGGCAGCCTCCACCTCCAGAAGTTAAACAGCCTCCAGAGCCCAGCCCGGTCTCTCCAGGTAACCCAGAGAGATTCAGATTACAGCAGCACAGAAGTCTTAAAAGTTAAAAGACAAAACAACTAGAAACACATTCTAGCGCATAGTATAATGTTGTAATTTCTGTCTTTCAGTGTCTGATGTCGGTGGTGTGTCCATCCTGCCTCCAAACCAGAGACCACCTGAGCCTCCAGAGCCACCTCCACACGCTGACCTGGACTACCGGCAGCCTCCACCTGAACCCAAGACTGGCCACGCTCCACCGATTGCGTCCGCAGGTGGAGGTGATGGAGGGAGACCCCCAGAGCCAGACTACCCACCTCTCCCCACTGCAGAGGGGCCCGGGTACGGCGGAGACTACATCCATCCGCCTCCGCCCCCCTTTACCCCTGCAGGGTTTGGGGACGGTTACATGGGTCACATGTTGGGTGGGGGCCTGCCGCCTCACGCTCTGAGGGAAGTGTTTGGCGGACACGGACCGGCTGCCGGCTCCTCGTCTAATACAGGCGTTCTGGCCCCGGCCCACCCAGACCCCTTCCCGCCAGGTGCTGGAGCCACCGGACCCAGCAGCATGGTGTTCACCGGGGACCAGGACCACCGGTTTAAATACAATCACAGCCCGTTACCCGTGGAGGGACAGCCTAACCCCAGTGCTATCCACCTGTACAACCACGCCTTGGCTCGAAAGGACGGTGGACCTCCTCCCCCACCAGGACAACCCTGGGGCTCCCCTTCCCAAGTGGGGGCTCCGCCGCTACCCCTCGGCTTCGTCCCACATGTGAACTCAACCATCAGGGGACGAGGCCTGCCTTTCTGAAAGACTGGAAATAGTAAATGGCAGTTTGTGACAATAGACAAAAATGTTAGAGGACTCAGTTTTGAGTCCGAAGCCTCTCGGGCCAGACCAGAGGGATCTGGAGATGCACACTCGGTTTGTAAAAACTTAAATCTGTGTCAGGCATTGTATTCCTTCTCAGTCTGGAATGTGGAGTACGGTGCAGAAGGACGGCCGAATAACACCGGAGGAGCTTTTCTCGCTCATACCATTTTCCTATGTTTTTGTAATCTATTCTGCTGTCTTTTAAATTAAGCTTTTACCTTTTCTGTGTGTACATTTATCAGGCTGGGTACATTTTAAATCTCCTACCTTAGCCTCTCTGTAACTGCTCCCGGGCAGACTAGTATTAATGTTTTGCACTACTGACTGAAGTAGGCGGAAACTATTTTAGCTATGAAATGAAATGGATGGTGTGCTTTATCTGCACAATTAGGAATCTGAGCAGTAATGTAGTGTCCTCTTTTTATTACGGCCTTTATTATGTTGAAGCAATGATGGCTCAGCTGATTGGCTGATGGCGTACGTATCGGCACAGGGAGCTATTTGAGGAAGGACTGTTGGTTCCAGACGGACCGGTATAGCACTTGGACGACTGCAGAGAATCCGACTTCATGGAGAAAGGCTGTTGTCATTTGAAAGTCCACATGCCTTTTTGCCAATAGGTGTTGTAAAATCATGAACAAAACAGAAAATACACAAATCACGTTAATAAAAACAAATGTCTTTTTCTTTTTGTACTGAAATGATTTTGTCCCCCTCCCTCCTCCGGCAAATGTTTATTAAAGAAATGCCATCAATGAATGATTGTATTTAATTGCTAAAAAGGTTCTTGACGTTCTCAGTTATAAATATTATAAATGACCAGTCGTAGATGAGCTGGCGTCACACATCGCGCCACTGGATGGCAGTGTCATGTCAAATATCAGCGCTCTGCTACCTGCAGTGTGCACTCATTGCAACAGATGAACATGGTGCGTGTGGTGCAGATTGACATTCAGTGCTGCAACTGTGAGGCCAACGTACTCGGTCGTAAGTCTCTCTCGCAGCCAATAGACCTGAGCTGGCAGACACTTTTTCACTGTAGCTTAGTCTTGACACGTTTATATACACCATTCATGGAGTGACAAGCTCCTTGAGTAAATCAATATAATGCAAATAGTCCTCCTGGCTGTATTTGTGGCATGAAAGCTTTCAGCTTTCTATAAAGAAACTGCTGAGGAGAGACATGGCTAAGGCGATAGCAGCACACATGACGTTTCAGACAACTTCTACGCAACCTGGAGTGCAGATACCGAGCAGCTCATCAGTCAGGATGAAAGAAAGTGTTCCAATAGCCGACGGCTCCCAGCGGACTCAATCTTCAAGCACTTTACCTCGATTCTTTGAACTTAATGGAAAACAGTTTCTCAGAGATCACAAACCAGACCTCCTGCATGCTCCCTCTTAATGCCAACTTTCATAGGGATTTTTTTTTGCCATTTTCACCTTCATCAAATAAGGTGTTGCTTTCAAATATATTCTGCTTCAAAAAACAAACGTTCATTGCACATCACATTCAAATGCGATTTTTCCAATAGTGTCTCTAAAGGGAATATTAAGAGGTTGATGAAGCATCAAATTAAGGATTAATTTATGAAATAGTTATCTTCAAAGGGATATCAATCCAGTTGGAACAATCAGTCTACATACCTTGATACAAATATAGCCGGCTAGTACAGATTATTATCAAAGGAAAAAGCATCTCAGAGATGGAAATGTCCATCTTCCCGATCAGGTTCAATTTAATGACTATTTAAAAGCCCCACAACATCAATACAATCAATGACATATACTAAAACATATTCAGATATTAGGAATTGACATTTAAATGAACATTAAATGCTGCCTTACTGCTCTTAAATGCTATACCAAACTACTTACAACGGTAGATTTAATAAAAATGTGATTCACCAGCCACACTGGAGCCACAAATGGCAGCAGCATCGTCCGCTGAATGATACTCTACGTGCAGCTGAACAGAGAGACACACACACACACACACCTGTCCTTTTGTTTTTTTACCCATCATATCCACATCTGAATTTGCCACACGTCACATCGCCGGTGATGAAAAAGTGATTATCTCAGAGGGGTTCCGTTCTACAAAGCTAATTCGGAACGTGGATGGGGAGCTGGTGTGTGATTAATACGGCGTGGATGATGGATTGCTGAAAATCTACGTCAGACTGGCAGCGTGGTATCTTTTTGTGTGAGTGACTGAAGATGCAGTGAGTACAATTGATGAGCTGAAGGGTGCAGAGAGTGAGACAGGAAAGGTGCCTCAGGCCGTGGAGTTTTATTCTGCTTCTTTATCTGAGGATAACAAATGCAGATGGGATCAATATACTTTTTGAGGTGGATGGTAAATGTGGCGCACACAGTAACCGTGCTGGCAGAGGAATTGGCAATAACAGAGAAAACAAAAAGCTGAACAAAAACTTCACACACACACTTGAATCACTAAGCATGTGCCTAACCTTAAACCTCTTAAAAAACGTGAGGATCAGCAAAAATGCCACACACGCTCAACTTTAACACACACACACACACACACGCACACTCTAACAACTGTACTGCCCAGTTGAGGCACCGTGTGGTGCTAAAGGACTGGAAAGCAGTTTGGGAAAAAAAAAATAAAAATCAGAAGCACCTCAATCCATCAACTTGATTTCATAAAACTTGCAAAACCGAAAGTTATGACCAAGATACGCTTTTCATCCTTGAACCAAAGCCCATAAATATGGACACGTGCCAGTTGATAGTGATGTTCGACAAGTAGAGCGGCCTTCAGGGGGAGGAGGGAGCCGGCAGAGGGCTGCTTGGCTGTTGTTGAAAATGGACTGCAGCCAAAATTCATCATGATCCACAAGCTTATCATATCTGGCTAATCAGAGACCTACCTGGACTCCGGCTTGTTAACGCATTACTTTTCCAAGGTGGCTTGAGGACAGGAAGAGGCGCTACCTGGGCTAACTGTTGACAGTGGGATGGGAGAGGGACATAATTAGGAGTTAAGGATGATTTATCGGGGAAGTAATGTGCTGACTTTGAATTAACCTTTGAGGTTTTTGCAGTAACTGAACCATAATGTGACCCACAGTGCATCGCTGTGCCTTGGGCCTTCCTGCTCCTTGAAGAGGTGAGTCAGCTGAACTAATGGCTGTTTAATAGCCAGCGGTTAAACCGTGTTGTATTTGTGTGTGTGTGTGTGTGTGTAAAGTGAGTGAAACAGAAAGAGAAAATGCACACAGCTGACATTTTTAGATAATGTTTTGTTTACATTTTTTTTGCTTTTTCTTTCTGAGCGATTTCCTCCTGAGGCTGTGTTCAAAGTAGTTTTTAGTTAAAATGAGAAATCTAAAAGTGGTGGCAGCAAGACAATAGTGATGCCTTCTTCCACACACATGCACAGCAAGAACGTTCATGGTGTCAGTAATTACGCCCGCCGCATATTATTTAAGATCAGGTTGGAATAGCAACCAATAGCGTGACCACATTAACGGGTGTTAATCTCTCTTAATGGGCGTTTGTTTATTTAAAGATGCATTAACTGTGCGATTTCAGAGATAGTGATTTACCTAGTATTCTCCGAATGAGGAGAGTGAAGCCTTCAGAGGCGATCAATCATGATGGAGTGTGAAAGGGCAGATTTTACATCCTGCTGCTGTGTGTCGGGTCCGTGTGCGTTCGGCAGCTAGGTGATGCCGCCCAAAAGGTCACGCTGCGCCGACCTTTATTGCGCTATTGTCAGTTTGTCACACACGGCAGCAGAGACGGCCAATCGCGTTACAGAAATGTCACATATTTGATCTCGACGTCTGTCAATCTGGCCATCGATAGGCCAGGTGTGCTGTGAAACTGACGATTTCCTATAATTGCTCCCAAATTAAAAAACACAGAAATGTTTTTACTTAAGATATACGCACGTCATGTTCGTCTCTGCGCTTCCTCTCTTACACTGCGAGACGCGGCCTCACCTTCTCCCCCCCTGACATCCAGATTAGCTCCAACCATGTAGACAAAGGGCACTCCAATCATTTACAGCAGATATGACCCATGAATGTCATGCTCAGCTTCACTTCACACTTTACCTTTGACGTCTAAGGTCAGGCTCCAATAAGTCATTATGAAAAGGGAATCCAGGCCCTGCCAATCAGCACCGACCGTCTTCACCCCGCAGACTTGTTGTAGAAGCAAGGACGTGCACAAGGCCGGGGATAAAGTTGCCGGGGATAAAGTTGCCGGGGATAAAGTTGCCGGGGATAAAGTTGCCGGGGATAAAGGAGCAACAGCCTGTTTCTAGTCCTTGGTTGAGCTCAGGGGCTCCAGCTTTTTTTCCTCAAAAGGTTTGAAAATAACTTCAACTTGGTGTCATTTCCCCTCAGTCTCTCCAAACTGAACCAGCAAATGAATAGAGCAAAAGTTCTAACAATGGGGGGGGAATAGACTAAATAGTACAGGTTTCAAGATCAATTTGATCCAAAGCAGGATGTCGACTCTGCAGGGGGATTTTTTCATCGGCAACGATCATGTTTTTCCCAAATGCTGGACGGATATTTAAGCATTCTTTTATCTGGCTTGACAATGAACGCACATAGCTGCCGTAAGTGGGGAACAAACTCTGCCCCCGGACCCCTCTTGGTTTTCGACTGAGCCCTGAATGTTTACAACGTCTCGCTCCGCCTCTGTCTGAGCGGCGTTCCCGGTTCCCAGTCAGCCAACAGCAACGATGGGAGAGAGTTGTGTACAAGAGGAAAGGTGTGTCAGCGTTGCTCCACTGCTGTGAGGGATGTGAATTGAAACACATCCGACACACATTCAAATCAGCGGCATCACCCAGATGTGCCGACCACCGGGACGAGGATGAAAACGACCTGGAGGCCAACTCCTTATCTCAGCTGGTTTAAGCAGCCTTTAGATGCAAGAGCAGAATGTGATAAAACAATTGGGCTACAGAAGTAACCGGCATTCACATCGGCATAGAGCCAAGGTGGAACACTTTACTTTCATAGCCCGATGTGACCTGTTGCCTTTTGGGTTCTTTAGTACAGTGTAGTACTGAAGTTGCCAGTGGACTAAATGTTTTTGCCCTTTGTCAGTTTAGAGCAACAACCCTTTGCTAACATTAGTCACAATATGCTATCAGTGATACCAGACCAAGTAAGGCGACAGCAGCTAAAGCTCCGAGGGGAAATGGATTGAGCAAAGGTGCTATTTACCGCTCATGAATTGAACTCTTTGTAAAGAGTAAACAAACGGCACAATATTCCTCTTAATAGTGTACGACTGCATATTCCTGCTTTGATTACAGCAGTTCAGATATTCTGAATAAAGTGGCAGCCCCGCTGTTCGTCATCAGCTCAAGGAAAGAGCCGGACTCGTATCTTTTTGATTTGTCACGATTTTCGAGACCGTCTTTCCTGACGAGTTTAATAATAGTGTGTTTATACCTTTTCTGCATGGTTTTTATTTCCCTCTACTTGTACACTTCACTCATCCTGCAGCAGTGATCGGTTGTATTATTGGTGACCTGCTGCTGTGTTTGTTGCATGATGCTACGGATTATCTGTGTATTCTTTAATCACATGTTTTTTTGAAAGGATTGAGGTAAATAATGTTTGCAGAGCGGACAGTGTGATGCTCCCTTTAGGTTATAAAACCTCACATCCCCAAGGTGAAACAAAGCTAGATGATCTGTGACAAAGGGTACAACTTTTTTTTTATAAAAGCAACTTCCCACACATTACGGCCTGTCCAAACCG